AATTGTATAGATGTTAAATTACACTTATGTAATTTTTAGATCAAAATTCAAAAAGTTAATTATCATACTTCACAACAAAATTAATTACTTTACTTAATGTTTGAAGATCATGTAAGTTTAATATCAATTTTTTTATTTCATATTATAAGCTATACAAAAATTAGGTTATATATGCAACATCATTTTACTTAATATCAATTAGAAGTTGTCAAAATTATAAAAAATACAATGATACCAAAATATTTCTTAACATAAATTATAAAACTTATTACTTGTAATAAAAATTATATAATATTTTCCATATATAGAATAAAATTTTAGCAAAAAAACCTCAAAATTATTTGATATTAGCTATGTTGTTGAAAAAAAGCTAAAAACTATGATAATATAGAACTTGAAAGCAATATTATAATTATTCAAACTTGTGATTTAAAAGTTAGACAAATTTAAGATTGAAGATAAAATATTAGTTATATTTTATTGATAAATCCTAAAAACTTTGATCATATATTAATAATTTTTTCAAGAAAAAAAATCTTGATTTTTTAATACTTCTAATAGCACTTAAATAATATTCTACTATAGAAGAAGTAATATGATTTGATATAGATGTTGAGGTAGCTCCAACCATCTCTTATCTTTACTTCTAATCAATATTATTACTATTTGTAGTAATAAATGAATTTGATGCATTATAAGAATGACCTTCCTCATTTGATTCTACGTTTGTGCTATCACATCGTTTATTTTAAGATGCTTTGCCATAATAAAAAATAAAAAAAAATAAAAAATAAAAAATCTCAATTTTACTTAGAATAAGTAATAAAAAAATATTAAGAATACAAAAATTGTATGAAATTTTATGAAATTTTATGAAATATAAATGACATTTGGCCAAATTGAGTTTCATAGAATTTCATAGAAATTAAAATTTCTTTGTATTTAAATAATATATGGAAATAAAAAAGAATTAAATAATATATAGAAATATAAAAGAATTTTAAATTTCTTAGTATTGATTTAAAATAATTTTTATTTAAGTAATATATAAAAATTTCATAGAATTTAAAATCCTTTTGCATTTCTATATATTATTTAATTATTAGACTATGTGAAAATATTTTATAGATTATTTGAATTGTGTTCAACTTGCAGAATAGATGTTTAACTTGCAAAGCAAGTTTTTAATATGTATGACATTTGACCAACTTGTAAAAAACATTTTTAACATGTGTAATATATGACCAACTTATTTGCCAAGTTTTTAACCTACTAATCACTTTCAAACATTTATAAACTTAAATCCGTGTTCATAACCTAATAGGTATATAGCTAATATATATATTTGTAATATTAAGTAATTATTTTGTATATATCTTTATTATTGAAAGAAATGATAAAGATTGGTGTTTTTTTAGTAGATTTAAGTTTTTTGTTGGTAGAATGATAGAATCAGATTTTTATTTTAAAATATCATATAATCTAATTAAAATTATTTATAGAAAAAACTTCATAAATTATAATATAATATTTTTTTTGTAGTTGAGCCTTTTTCTTATTTAGTTAAAAAATAGCATAAGTTACTTTTATTGCATATATATATTTTATTTATAAATTTCTGTTTTTTTATTTTCTAATAGAGATAGTTTTTTGAAATATATTACAAAAATATATTCATCAATCTTTCTTCTATTTACATTGCTATTATGTTAAATAATTTTATTTTAATCTAATCTTTTATTTTCTAATTTTAATCCTCTTATTTATTTTATTGTATCTCTATTATGCAACTAATTTTAATAAATGGCTTTTGGAATGAATAATTAATTTTTAAAGAAAAAAAATAAAAATTATCATATAAAAAGTAGAATATGTATATAATTCTTTGACTAAAAATAATTGTAATTTGTAGTTAATTTTTAGAACCATCTATTTTTTTCTTATATTTTTAGAAAAATTATAGATTTTTTTTATAAAGATAGTCACTATATAGATTTTATTTACTTATATATATAATAAAAAATATTATAATGATCCATCCATTTATTAAATTAATCCACTCTATTATGGAGGATGAGGTGAATAAGAAAAAATAAGAAAGAATGGGAGGGAGGAGGCTGGTTGCATTAAAAAAAAGAAAAAGGTTGGGAATGGAGGCATCAATGTTGCATTTTGTGAATTCTAGCTTGAGAATGCACTACACACCTAATTGTAGAAGGTAAATAGAAAAATATTAAAATAAGATTTTAACAAGTTTAATAGAATCTTAAATAAATTTTAATTAAACATGAGTAAACCTAATCAAATTTTAACTAATCTAAAAGAAGTTTAAAAAAATTTACTAATGAAACATAAAGAAATCATAAATTAATCTTAAAGAAATCCTAAAATAAAAATATTAAAGAATTAACAAAGAACCTTTTAAAAACATTAAAAATTAAAGAATTAAAAAATAAAAAATAAACCCTAAATAAATCCTAAATAAATCTTAAGTAAATCCTAAATCAAATTCTTATCAAATCTTAATTAAATCCTAATAAATTCTAATCAAATTCTAAAAAAATCCAAGAAAATTTTAAATAAATCGTAATCAATTCTTATAGCTATTTTAAAATCTTAATAAATATTAATTAAATTTTTAATTTTAACTAAAATTTTTAATTTCAACTAAAATTTTTAATTTTAACTAAAATTTTATTTATATTTTAATCTATAAGTAATTAATAAGTATAAAATTTTTTTAAAAAAATTAAACTCACTAATTGAAAGAAAAACCTCATAAACCTCTTAGTTGTCTTTTGTCTTTTTTCTTCAACCTAGATGTTGATCTTTTAGCAAAAATTTCTCCTTGATGAACCGTTCAATTGCTTCAGACATTAGCTAGTGTGTAGATTTCTAAGTCTAAATTACTCTCATCCATAATGGCTTCAATTGAATTAGCAGATTTTGCAAGATTACAAAAATGCTCACTAACTCTAAATTTCAAATATTCAAGATCCTTATTCAATAAAACTTGCATATCCTTCAATTAAACTGCTCAATTGATATCACATTTTTTAAATACATTTAAGACAAGCACTATAACAAATTCGCAAATGTTCATCTATAAATGTGCTACAACACTCACAAAATCCTCCAATTTGTAAACTACTTCTTATTTTTTAAAATCCAAAACCACTAAGTACATCTGTCATTTTAAAAAGCTTTCAAAAATTCAATATGCCTTCAAATCATGTGAAACCAACTTCTAATTAATATGTCACAAGTTTTTTTCTCAAATTCTACTCTCTAATCAACCAAAGAACCTTGGAATCACTATAGGTGTATAGTTTTGTGCCTTGAGGTTTGATTTCGACCTTAGTCCACAATTAATCCTCGCTAAATATCAATTCTTGATATTTTGGGATAATATTTATTAAAATATATTCTAAACTTCTTTTTTAAGATGCATATATGAATTATTTTTTTAATCTACTTTTTTTCTCCTTTTTTGTGATCTTATAAACTAAATAAAGTATTTTTTTAATAAAAAGATAGCATTAATTTTAAAAGTTTATACTACCTTCTTGTCATTTATCCATATTTTGCTACTATATCTTTCTATTAGGCTCTTCTATAAATAAAATCAATATTTTATCTTTCACCATATAATCATGTTATTACATGGTAATAGAGGCTAGAATCAAGGAAAGTGAGGATGAGGGCTACAATTGTAATGATAGTTTCTGGCTATAATCCATTTTTCTTATAATGGTTACATTAGGTTGGATCAATTTAGTAAATAGATGGATTATTTCAATATTTTTTAAAATTATTTATTAATTTTTTCTAACTTCTTTTTTTATAATAAAAATAAAAATTTCTACTTTTATAAGCAATAGCTTTATATATTAAAAAGATAAAAATATAACTATATCTTATTAAGATAAATAAATATACAAAATAGGATTTTTTTAATATCTTTAAGGAAATCAATAAGCATATTAATCTATAAAATATTATTACTATTTTTATTTTTTGATTTGAATTATATTTATTTATTTATATTGAAATTGATCAATTAAAAATAATTCTAATGAAGAAGAATATTTAAAATTTTTAATTTCTTAAATTAAAATTTCTACATCAAATACATAAATTCAATTTTACATTCTTTATTTTTTTTAGAAAATAAATATTTATACTTTTGGATATCAATGTATAACAAAATACATGATAAAATTATGAATTTCGTTTTTACTGTAATTAACAAGTCTAGAATATCAACATTATAATTTTAAAGTAATATTTATTTATGTCGATTTATTTAAATATTAAAAATATAAGTACTAAAATTCTCTATTCAATTCAAAAAAAATCTCATATAAATTTGTAAAAATTGAACACAAATACAAACAATCCATCTCCATTCAATTTGCACCTGTTAAAATGTGTGGGTTATTATTGCACTAGCTTATGTGTATTCATGTACATACAAACATCCATACATACATTGTAAACAAGACCCAAGTTTGTGAAGAAATATTTCTTGGAACCTTGCATTACTTTCAGCTTTTTAAAATAAAATAAAATAACATAAAAAAAGAAGAAGATGAAGAAGAAAATAAGAAAATAATCTGAGAATGAGGCTGCAAAACATGTGGAGTGGATTGTGGTTCAAAACATTGAATTATTGTGAGAAGGTCCAAATTAGGGTTTGACTCAACTCCAACATTGGGGAAGTACTGAAGTGTTGTGATGGATGGATGGATGGATGGATGGATGGATGGATGATAATTCTCATTCCTTAAGTTAAAGGTTGAGTGTGACTACAGAAGTGTTTGATTAGTGTTTAGGGTGTGTTGCAGACAAAAATGTTGCTTTGGCACGCATGTTTTGCAAAATTCTAAAAAATGTCTCGCTTTGTAAAGATGACTGCCGTGGAGAAACTTAGATAAATAGTCATACATTATCAGAATTTGATGGCTTCCACAGGTCAAAATTGCTGTTGGACGAAGGAATTCAAAATTGGTTTCTAGTATTGAGATGGTGCGTACAGTCGCACCAATAAAGCTGACAATAGCCCAATTCTGCCTTGGCCTTGATTAAAGGCATGAAATCCGTTATGCTTTTCTATCTCTAAGAAAGTCAGCCTTCATTTATGAATGCTTTTAGAGCCATAGAAAAAACCCTGCAAAGTCTGCTAGATATGCCTGTGCAAATGTCATTGGAGAGTGATCAAAAAACACAATTGACCAGCGATCAGATGCATTTGAACGCTTTGGAAATTAATTTCAGACCCCACGTTAACAACTAGTGACTACTCCATCCTTCTTGAAAACCTTTTCAATCAGAGGATGATTAGACGTGAGGTCTGTGGGACTTTCAATAAATGTCAGTGAATCACGGGTCGGGGAATATTTGAATAATTGAAAAGAAATTTATGTTCAAACCCTCGACTGCAAGTTCACATAATCTTGAGATTGTGAATAAGGCTTGAGATGTTGAGAGAAGACATCGATAGTCTTCCTGGTCCAACTACGACCTGCGACCTCCGTGCCTGGATCAGCCTCTTCAATCGTAGCTGCTGCAGAGAAAACCCTTGCAAAAGATTTCGCACTGAAACGTGGTCTCCTTCACTTGTATCAGACCACGAACACCTAAGAACGTCATGGTGTCCCTGAAAACATACACCTTAAAAAGTAAACCGCCAGTATGAAGGATCCTGTGGCAAATAACATTACGACCGCAGGAAACTACAACAGAATTACTGAGGCCAGTACAAATGAAAAAATTTCTGGTTATTTCTGTGCCAACGAGTTAAAAATTCTGTTTACAAAATAAATATACTTGGACTTATTCTGGAGCAAAATACAGTGGCTCTCGAGGGTCAAGGCAGATGTTGAATAAATTGAAGCGGGTAAGAAACCCCATTTATCCTTCCATGGTTCATGAACTCTTTAAGAACAAGAGATGTATCAAGGTAAGAGAGCCCAAAACGATCGTATGCTAGTGCCATGGAAAATGAATTGGCAGAACCGTAGGCTTCCAAATGCTGTACAACTGCAAAAAGAGCGCACGAACTGACTGTCATTGCGTTAGAATGGCCTATGGTGATTCCATCTAGAAATCGTTGAAATGGTCTGCTCAAATTTTAGCCTACACAATCGAGTAGCTACTTGTGTCCACTCTGTTCCTGCTCCTCGTTACGAAATTCTCACACTGTCTTCAGAGCATTAGATGATACAAAAAAAGAGACATCGTTGAAAAATTGACTGCAACGGCAGCTTCGAACCCACTTCGGCTACGGAGGCTGGAATGCAAGAAGAATCACCCACGACTACATGCTCTGCTTCGGCACCCGTACCTAACCTACAATGCCCGAATAAAACAAGAACATGTCCTCACAACAGATTGCACCTCAAATGCTTCAGACATGCATACATCTCTATGTCACTCTCCTTTGATCTGGAACAACTCATACAATGCGGTGCGTATGACATAAAGACGCACCGTCTTCCCTTTCAAGAATTTGATACATAATCCCCCGAGCAGAAATTGTTACGGAGTAACTGTTCGTCAGATGTTCTAGGGCATCATGACCATCACTAGCAGCAAACGTCAAATCCGCTGCATTTTATGACATGGGTTAAAGATTACTGAGCTGTTGAATTGCTTCTAGTTTATCAACAACAATACAATCTCCGCCATAAGGGGGAAATACGACGAGGAACATTGGAAGGAGAGCAAGCGGGACAATAGGGACCAGACATGACGTGTAATACTTGTGATGTGAGACACAGAGACAAAGAAACATTCTTATACCACAATTTCCTCACCCTCACCCTCGACAATATTTTGCCAAACTTCAGGCAGTTCTGTTACAACTTCACGTCTAGATAAAAACACATATGAAAATGGGTACCCTCGGAAACGGAGATGATTTCTTCAGAATATGCAATGAAACCTACAGCCCTCTAGAGAGATTCAAAACGTGATCAAAGTCGACAGGAGCTTGAAACACATCAATGAATACGTTTTTTAATTTTGTATGTGCATTGGGATACTGAGTGACCGAAACATTAAACGAATGGAGTTGTTGATTAGAGAGGATAAATCAGTGTAACATATGTTCACCCAAATCAAAATTTTGGATAGTTCTAATTTTTTTTGCATGCCTACTTACCTTAGTGGCTCAAGAATGGTAAGTATGATGAGTATAGTATCATCATACTTACCATTCTTGAGTATAATATCTCAAATTGGTAAGTATAGTATCTCAAATTGGCATTGTACACTTTTGTTTGGAAATAACATGATTAAAACATTGTATCGATTGTACTTCTTGGGATTTAGACAAAAAAATTCACATGGAATAAGAGTCTTATGTATTTTCCATTCTAATGTCTTTAACATAGATGTTATCTACCTAAAGTTGAGAACTAAATATGTGTTAAAAGATTTTAATTTGACCTACTACCACCTAGGTTTAGAAGAGAATAAGGAAGAACAATTTTTTTTGCATAAACATGATTCTATAGATCATAATCTATAAAATAGTATTCATGCATAGGATATGAGTTTGAAAAATGTAAACACTAGAAATAGATAAAAAACTGCATAAGAATAAAATAAGAAATAAAATCCAAAAAAATAATAATAAGTTAATCCGCATATGGTTGGAAAAAATTTAAAACAAACTTGTCAAGAAGATTTGAGGCAAAATGAAGCAAATAAGATACTTTAATTGGTTTATGTCGAGACCAACATTTTATTTTGGATATATAAATTAGATGCTAGGATATTTGATTTTCTTAAACTTTATTTAATTAATAATACCATTTATATATAGTAGCTTGAAAAGTCATCTTAGTATATCATATAAGTTAGAATAAAGATTCTTAAAAATTAAGATTTTTGTAAAAAACTATTTGTAATAATGGGAAAAAATCATTAATTGTATTTAGCTGCAATCTGTAAAGGTACTAGAGCTAAAATCACAAAAATCACATTTCATCATATAGTATCCAAAAAAATAAAAAAATAAAAAAATAAAAAAATAAAAAAACATAATTATATACATCAATAAGATTTATTTTTTATTTTTTTATTTTTTGCCTAGTAGAAAAATTAGCCTAATATGAGTAAAAGATTATATTTCTTGAAAACGATACCAAATAAATAATTTTCTACATACTACTCACATAGCTTAGAAATTTGTTGCTTATAAATCTATACTATTTTATTAAAATGTACAAAAAATAAGGAAATAAAAAATACTTGATTAAGTAATTTATTATAATTGATAGATATATTTTAGAGATATATATCTCACATTCTTGCTTTTAATAAGAAATTTTTTATTTAAAAAAAAACTTCCATATATTAAAAGTAAATAAATAATTTGATGAAAGATACCTCTTAAATAAAATATCAAAATTTGTCATAAATATTTTGTAAGAATATGCACAATATAAGAACAAACTCTGTATTTTGTTTTGCTGTATCCATAGTACAAAATTAATCTAAACTTTTTACATAGATTTTTCTTAGAAATTTTCCAAATAAGTTTAAATGTATAAGCAAATCCATTTAAAAATATAAAGTTATTATTTAAAAAAAACTTTATTGATAAAAATTCTAAAATTTGTATTGAAACTAATTTAAAAAGTATTTGAAGCTTTTCTTTTGTATCGTCAACCATATCATAGAAAGAGAATTAAATAATAATAAAATATAAATAAATTATTATAGTTTACAATTTTTTAACATAGAACCTTGAGACTCTAAGATTTACAAAGATCACACAGACCAACTTAATACAATGTTAAAATAAAGATATAAGCTACTCTATTTAGAATCATAATTTAAAAAATGATTTAGTTTATTTATGGCCTCTTTTTTATTTTATCCTGTCTCTAAAGACTAAGGCTTTCAAAATATATATTTTTTTCATATCAAAAAAGAAACCTTTGTAGGTCTCTTACACCACAACTTTAAAAAATGTTAAAAAATGGGCTGCTTGGTATAATTGCTTCCTAACATCTTAATAAAATCATTTTTCCTTTTCTTTTTCTTATTTTCTCTAACACTATCTAAGGCCAATTCTAAAAAACTACCTGTATGCTTGTATTACCTATATGGATAAATACCATCCCAATAATTATTATCTACAAGATTAAGAATACAATAAGAAATCTTATTTTCCATAGTCTATGTCAAAGCTTACGAAGAAAGAATCCTTTTCCTGTATATTTTTTTTAGCTTATAGGAACTTGTTTCATGCTAGTGCTCCATAGACACCCTAACATGATTGGCATGTGGGATCTAGACATTTTTGTCAGCTAGAAAGAAAAGTACAATGTAGACTAAGTTCCAGTTTTTATTTTATTTAAAAAAACTAAAATTGAGACTTGCTCCAATTTAGAGGTGGCATCTACCCAATGTTTACCGTGAGAGCTGTTGCACCTCGGTTCAGAATTTTCATCTCTAGCAGGCAACGCCATCATCCTCTCCTCACTGGTGGGTTTTCCTCGAATATTTTTGTCGCCATGTCTGTCACCGAATTAGTCATTTCACGCTGCATGTCCAAGTCCCGTCGAATTTTGCATCGAACAAGTGTGATTCTCAGTCAAGGTGTGATGAATCACATGCATTTTGTGGGAGCACTGGAAGATATTTGAAGGCCTCTCTTCTGGACCTGCACCATCACTGTGACGTGATCGGTGAACCTACACCAACATTTGTGCCTGGAGGAAAGCGGAAGGTGGGATTCGCTGTCGCAACAAGGGTCTGAAAGAAGGTACATTTTCCTTAATTTTATATGAACATGTATAGATACTGGAGGTAACATTGATTGGAGTTTTCAAAAAAGTTGTTTGTAGTTGTCTCCTGTAGCAGATGTAGCCGCAACAACTACCTTTGTTCAATTGCTTGTGGATCTGTTTGTTTCCCCTTCTTACTCAAGATAGTCTGCACAAAGCTAGCAATTCTCAATCACCGGTGATTTCTTCAGTAGTGTCTCACCCGTTGGCGTCTCGACCTAAGACGTCGACGTTCATCGAATGTTTCTGACCTTTCAGGTTATCCAATATTTTGTGATTTTATTCCTCGGTCTGGGTTTCACAGTTTTTTATTTTTTTATTTTTTTTATTTTTTTTATACTACCCACTTTGCACTGAATGGATTATTCATGAAATTCCTTACGGTCCTGGGATTCTCGCCCACTTTTGAGAAGTTGGTTTTTTGTTGTTCCGGTAGCGGTGACCAACAGATTAGTCAAACTACCTAAGAGACTATTGATTCTTTTTCATTTTCTCTCCATTTTCCAAGATAAACACTAGTGATTTCTGAAAGATTGCCTATTAGGTATTTTTTTTTTTTTCCGTTCTTTTGGCTGAAACTTAGTCGACGCCTGAAAGAGAGCATGACGATAGACCCAGATGAGCTGGCGACAGCGGTGGCTTTCACTGGAGCCCGAATATCAGTAGAATCAGGTGATTCTAAAACGTGATGTTCTAGGAAAATGAACAATACAACCCTTACAGAGGGTCAGATACGTAAACTCTATCTTTGAGTACACTCTAAATGCCCAATTATACCTAGAACGTTAATGTTGGAGTTGTATGGAGTATCGTAGTTCTTTTCAGATCAATCCGCAACCTTATTTTTTGCTTCTTCAGCCGTGGAATAATTTTTTGTCCAGTTCAACTGAAAAAGATGAACATCATGTACGTGGTATCAGTCATGTACTCAAAATGCTCTGTGTATGTCACTACAGGTATACCAGACTTTCGTAGTCGAGGAGGTCTTTGGAGCAAGTTTGATAATTTTCAAGCAAGGTAAGTTGGCAATTTTCAGGCCCTCTTTAGCTATTTGTACCTTGTCTTGCAATATCCGTTGCATGCCTTGTTGTTTTGAATACCTTCTACGGTTACTTTGCCAGCCTTGTATAATTTTGTAAATTGCTTGTTCAAGAATACATTAAAACAAGTGATAACAATCAGAACTTGTAAGTTGGTTTCGCTTGTTCTTTTAGGTCCTCTTGGTTAGAAAAAGTGTCGTAGTATGTCGCTAATGATATCATAAGTCTCTGGTTGAGGACCGTGTCTTTTCTACATTTCTTATTGTTTCCGTAGGTTCCGAGTCAAAACTCTCGATTTGGTAATTTCTCAAAACTAACATTGTCTTTTGATATTCCATTGATGCTCTAAAAGCAATTTGATCTCTCGTCATGCAGGCCAGAACTCTTCTGGGAGATGTCAAGGGAGATGCCAGCCACTGTAGATAAGGCGCAGCCAAACCAACACATGTCACCCTTGCAGAGATGGAAAAAGAAAACCTTCTATCCTGTGTCATAACACAAAATATTGACAACCTTCATAGGGCATTCAAAGAAAAAATCGTCTATCTTGTTTTCAGTTGGAGCATTGAGATTCAAGTAGATGCCAAGCTATTGTCGTAGAGGCTTCATCATGTTGGGGTAGGGGGAGAGAGTACACGGCAAAATAAGATAGCTTGTATCTCAGAAACAGCTATCACATAACTTCGAGGGAAACCTGATCAAGATAATTTCTCTTCTATTTAAGATGAACATTATGCCAAAATCTCTGTTCATCTTTACAACAAAGATAAACTGACCTGCTTAAGTCTGGAAGCTTATCAAGTAATTGTTAACTGATCGTCTTGACATGCTCTTACAGCAAGCAGGAAGTCAAAAAGTGTTCGAGTTCCATGGCAATGCCGCCATATCAATATGCATGATGTGTCATGAACAAATTCCCACTCTTGAAGCAATCGGACAACTCCAAGGCCAAGTTAGTTTACGTCTCCTTCGTCCATTTTCGTTTTCACGTTGTGGTTATGTTGAACAACTAATGAAAGGATTCTTTCAAGAACTTTTGTTCTGTTTATCCTGTCCTAGTTGCTTTACAAAGTCATGGGAGGGGGCACTTCCGCATTCATCAGGGGTAGTAATTCCCAGGACATACTAACCTTGCAGTGATTTATCGTTGGCACCATATGTGTGCAGGATTCAAAAGTGCCAAAGTGCAAGATTTGTGATGGAGAAATGAAAATGGATGTTGTTCTGTTTGGGGAAGAGATTGCAGATTCAATAGTAGAAGGGGCCATGGCTGCAGCAATTATTGCTGATGTAGTCTTGGTTGTTGGCACATCGCTGACGGTGCGAACTGCTCTTTTGTGAAGCTCATTGAGCTGACATCACTTTATGTAAAAGTGAACTGCAATTCAATGAGGCTGTCAATGTTAATCAATCATTATTCTTCTAGAACTATCTAACAAGCTCAAAATACTGATATTTTTGTTAAGTAGTGTAAATCATACAGCTGATGAAGTTACCCATGGAAATTTTTGTGACAGGTGTCACCAGCCAACATAGTCGTAGAATTTTGTCGAAAAAGGATTGGAAGAGTGATTGTTGTGGATCCGGACCCTAATGTTAGACGTCATGTGGATCTGCTGCTTTGTGGAAAAGCTGGAAGCGTGCTGCCTCAACTTCTACAAGCTTGTGTTTCTACTCGCAACGTCGTTACTACTTGACTCTTTCCATATTCTTATTGTTCTTTGTGCATAACGCAGTTCTTGCAAAGCCTTGTCCGACATAGTGGCTAGAGCCATAGATGATTTTCATGACGAGTCCGAGAGACTATCTTAGCATATCTGCACTCTTTGTGGTATTTTCAAGAAAAGGAAAGAGCTACGAACACAGTGATTCAATGGGTTGGTTGTCGCTTTCAAATTTATAGCTTATTACTTTCTTATCCAACCCAACTTTCAGCAACAAATTATCAACTGGTGTACCTGGGCATCTGGGACTAGATGCGGCTCTCATGGTGAGTCCCATTTCATCGATCCCCATCACCAAAAAACGTGTTCATCGCAAACTTGGTCATGGGTTGCGTTTTCAAAAGGCCTCGGCATTTCCTCTTTCTTCATTGAATTGTGAAGCTTTCCTCTGGCTCCAAACGTGTTTCTCATCTCTTCGTCATACAACTTTGAGAATAGCTCTCAGTCTTGCGTACATTTTAGTTTCATGTCATTGCCCTCAGTTCATTGTATCTTCTTGGTACGTTGAAGCTTTGATACGATGGTGACCTCGATATAGCCCATAAATGAGGATGCAACGAGTGAAGAGATTAGGAAGGAATCTGACCGTTTTCATTTTCCAGTGAGACATGAGCTGACTTTTCTTATGTTCGAGTTTTGAAGCATGTTGTAAACCAGCAAATCCGGCTTCTGTTCTTTGTTCCTTCAATGCCATTTTGAAGGCTGACACAACGATCCCTCCATCAACAAAAGTATGGTTCATTTTATTTCTTAAACTTGAATTTTAATGTGCTATACTGAGTCATCATGTTTGTCTATGTCATCTTTATAAAGACAATTAGAGCTCTTAGTTCGGTTCTGTGTATTTGCTGGAATCATTGACAAAGACTTGAAAAGTCTGTTTATGCTTCTTTTTTTTGTTTATTCAAAGCAAATTTTAGACATAATTTAAATACTGTATTAGATGGAGGTTGAAGATATAACATGCATATGTAGGATTTGCATTATTATCTCTTGATTCATATTAAACATCTTATGTACAGGAATAAGTTAAAAGGTCCATTCTTTTATTGAAATCATTTAGATTCATTAAATGAAATATTTATGTTTTTTTAAAACTAGTGCATAAACTCCACATATTATAACTCCAATTAATTTTTAATACTTGAAAATACATACATACATATATCTTTAATTTAATCTTTAATTTAAAAAATTAATTATAAATAATAATAAAAAAAATTATCATATGTATGTATATACACACACATATGTAAGATTCTTAATAATGTATTATTGTATTTTTATATTTTATGTAAAATTTATATAAATTATTTCTAATCAATAAAAATTAGGGAGCCAAACTTAAATTTATAATGTACTTTGTAGTATGAATATGAATCACAAACAAACTTTCAAAATAATATATTTGTGCATAACTAAAAGTAATATAAATATGAAGAAGATATATGATTTTAAAACAAGAAAATATAACAATAGCTATTATTAAGTACAAGGAACCTATAGAGTACTAAATTAATATTAGAACACAAGAAAGATGCAGTGAAGGCAAAAGATGGCACCAAGCTAGTTTCTATTGGTACTAATTTCTATCAAAACTATGTAAAAACTTTTCAAGGACTATAAGACAAAAAGAACTATAAATGTCAAAGCTATAGGATGCTTTTGTTATAGTTTTTTTTAGGTGTAGAAATATCTAAAATAAGTTTGTGCAATCAAATTGTACAAGAGAATATTCATGAATCTAAATTTGATCCAAGAAGCTCCTTTTATACTTCTTTGAAGAAATATTATTTCTTAAAATATTTCTACTTATTTCTATTAACTTATCAATTAATTTATTTTTGATATTATATATATATATATATATATATACATACATATAGATATGTTTTGTTTCAAAATAATAATATCAATAATTCAAAAAATATATATAATATAACATACAATTGTAAGGCATGTTGTTCATTACTATATACTAGCAAAATTTTGTCCTGTTCAATGCAATTATAAATTATTTAAACTCAATTCAGTTTAGTTTTTTAGAACACATCTCTCTTTTTTTTTTAAAAAAAAACATACAAAAAAATCTCTTCTAAAATCTAAAAATATTATATTTGTTACTTTCCACTTTAGAAACAATTTTTTGTACTAAAGATAATCCCGTTGTAGAGAAGAATTTTTTCCCCACTTGTTCGGTCAAATATTACCTCTGCCTTGCCTAGTAAGCTATAGACTGAGCATCTGCGTCGCTAGCGACATGTGAGCATGGGCTTACATAAGACCTGTAATGGATCGTTTGGGTACTCACTCATATCCCCGAGCTCCTGGATATCCTTGTCACGAGTAGAAAAAAATTCCTCTCGCTTGCATCGCTGGATTGCTGTGGAGAGGACTTTTGAACAGTTGGTTTTGATGCAGAAGTATAACCCACTTTGTTGAGGTTTCGGAGTGCGCTGCGATCAAGTTGTCTCAGTTAAAGTGGTGCTCTTGACTTCTCGTGACCCCCCGACGCATAACTCTTGAAACCTTGGAAGCCTTGTGGAACGAGTGCAGACCATTCCTTCGACTTTGGTTCTTCTGTTCGCGATGATGTCGGTACTGTTCTGCAATTCGAATTCTGTTGCCTTACCTCGTCCTGTTCTTGCAAGTGAACACTCGTGTTTTGCGTGTTCGCATTCGTATTCTGGTAGGAGAAAACTTGGGAAGTTATAGATACGATTGTGCTCATGAGCAAGATTGAAAACCTGTCCATTGTATTCGTGAATGAGGCGTATCTTTTTCTAGCCTTAGTCTTTACCGCATTCGTTCACAAGCCTGAGTGGATGGACAAATCAGAATGTTGTCTAAACTTGATGTCTGATTTGGATGGAGGCCTCATATCGCGGTTTTGTTTTTGTTCAGTACCACGCATATCTTGCTGTAGCAGACCCCGCCAACCTCCAGAAGTGTGAAGAGCTGTTGAAGGGATTGCCAGCGAGGACTCCTACGCCCGTCCGGAATCCAACATGGGTGTTCTTGAAAGGAATTGAGGGTTTTGGCTACGAACGCGCTAGCGATTGCCTGGTGCGGCTTCTCAACAACCACTATTACACTATTGATGATCTGAAGCTGGCAACTGAACAAGATCTGGTCAACTACGCGGGCATCAAAGCAGGGGACGCTCTCCAAATTGTGGCTGCTGCCAAAAAGTATGTTGTATCGACTAGCAATAGCTGACAGTTCTTGCTGCCGAACGTAATACCATAGCTACTCAACAAAGTTTTTAAAAGCGATTTACACGGTTCATTTGCTTCTTCAATAGTCCTAGAGTTGATAGATATATACCTCTTTCCTCACAGATTATTCCCCACCAGAGCATTGTAGCGCTTTGTACGGTTAATTTAGAGCGATTAGTTATTATTCTTTTTCCTTCAAATCAAACGCTAAACTGTAAAGATCAAAAATAATTCTGTCGACATCAAAGCAGGCTATAGTGATTTTCCATGGTAAATAAATAAATAAATAAATATTATTTCGAGAGAGAGAAATAAGAAAAGGGTTCAAAATAAATTCTCGGGACAGGTTCTTTGTTGAAAGGAAGACATACCAAATCAATGTCTATGTTCTAAGCGTCATTTGAAATTGCACAGGGACATGTGGTGTGAAAACCAATTCCGAGATTGATGTACGCCCTCATTTCATCGGCAAGGGACACGTGAGTGAAATGAAGACAGTACAGGTGATACTCCTCCAATGTGTCTGCGCTGAAGGTTAGCGAAACCAATCCAATATTTCTTTTGACTCTACAATGAGCTGAATGCTAGATTTGTCAAACATAAGTAAACTCAGTTCAAGAATTCAGACCCGAAGGAGAATCCGACATTGTAAAGCAAGTATAGTGTGAGGATGTTTTAGGAAAAGCCTTGTGTAAATCACACTCCAGCTCCTACTTGTGACATCAGATCTTGTAGACTAGTCGTTCTGTTTTGACGAGTTGGAGGTGAAACTTGCATATAGCGCTAAGTTCAGCTGACTGGAAGACTTTCATCTTCAGTTTCAGATTATGTAAACCACTGCTGGTTCGACTGCACGGTGCTATATTTCTCTCCGGCATCCGTTGACCCGTTATCACGCTTCGCCTCCTTCGCGGCGCCGAGGTTTGGCCTCGCTAGACCCCACGGCGATAGGTCTCGCTTCTCAAACACGCCGCTACCAGCGTCAGCCAGCGTCGTGGTGCGGCTGGGCCCGCGGTGGGTAGAACAAGAAAACAGTGGAGAAGAATGGAACGTGAGAGATTCTGTAAGACCAAATCAGAGGCTTGTGGTTTTAATTTTTGTATCGAGGCTATGAGAGGAAGATATGGGTGGAGGTAGATGCGCTTGAGGAAAAAATTTGCACCTTAGCCACATTTATCTCCACAAAAAGTGAGTCAAAAAGATATTGAATCAACTGCTACATATTCTTGTGAAGATAAATGTGGCTTTTTATGAGTTTTTACTCAACTATTTTTGAACAATTTTTGGTCCTTTTTTTCCACCTTGTTGTCTCCTATTGTACGAATTGTGTAGATATATTTTGCATTTAATGAAAAAGAGTTGGATTAAGAGCTTTAGTAATTAGATAACTTGTTTAAAAAGAAAAAAGAAATGAGATCAACAATATAGATTCAACTTGTTAAAGTGGAATGATGAGAGTAGAACATAATATGTAAAAAATATTGGTAGAAATACACAAAGCCACACAAGGTTGCTTCTAGTTTTAATTTTAAAATGAGTAATCAGTTGATTTTTTTTTTATAATGAAACCATTGTGTTTTTATTTTTATTTTGTTTATACCAAGAACATTAATTTCTTATTCTTTTTTTTTTTTTTTTTTTTTTTTTGTTAAGATGACTTTGTCATAAATTTTATAAAATTGTATCTCACTTATATGTACAATTATAATTGTGGATGGCTTAATGGACCAATTTTTTTTTCTATAATATATATATATACACACTTATTTATTTATTAAAAAAATAAATATAATTAAAAAATTATTAAAATTTTATTTGTTTTTATTTAATTATAGTTAAAAATATCCTTGATTATATATTGTTTTATATATTTATGATAGTTTTAATCAATTGCATTGAATATGTAAATAATTATATACCAATTTTTGATAATATGGTAGATAATTATTTTTTCAAACCACTTAGATTTCTCGTTATTTTTTAAAATAATTTTTGTGGTATGATTCTTTATATCTACATAATTTTTGTAAATTTTAAATCAAATTCTATTAAATTATTAGACTTTATGACTTTTATTTTTTAATTAAAAAATACTTTTTTAGTATTAGTTTAGATTTTGTTTTGAAGAAAATACTATTTACATTATATATTTCTATTCACTTTTATTTAATTTTATTTATCTAAGTCTAATAAATATTTATAAATATTCTAAATATAAACATTTTAGTATTTTTATTATAAACAAAGATATAAAGTTGTCCGATCTATCTAAAAAAATGGTCTATTTTAAGTACCTAAAGATACTAAATAATTGAAAGATGGAAGATTATTAGGTATATTTTTAAAAGATATTAAGTTTTTAATAAGTTTAAAGTATTCACATACATAAATTGTGACCAAAGATCCAAAAGTATTTAATATATTTAATAATATTATTAAAATTTATAATTAAGACATGTTATAAATATATTAAATTTTACAATTTTAAAATCTATTTTTTAATTATATTAAAATTTTTAATTATAATTTATCAATTATTTTTAAAGTTATGAAGTTTTTTAATTTATTTGATAATAGTATTAAATTAGATTACTAAAAAAAAATATAATATAGTCAAAGATATAAACTTGTATAATATATTTGGCAAAGTTTTAAAACTTGTATTAGAATAATGAAATATAATCGAAGATGTAAGTTTTTTTCATTTATTTAGAAATAATAATAAGTTTGAATATATAATATGTTTGATATAGTAAAAGATATAAAAGCTGTTCACTTCATTTAATAATAACATTAAGCTTCAATACCAAGATATATTAAGTCTAGTCAAAGACATAAGGTTGAAAAATATTTTTGGAAATAATAAGAAGCTAGAAGAATAGAATATATGAAGTATAGTCAAAGATATAGGAATACTTGGTTCATAAGACAATAATATCAAGCTTAAATATTATAATATAATAAGTATAATAAAAGATGTAAGATTGTTTAATTTATTTAGTAATAATATTTAGTTGAAGCACTAAGATACATTTAATTTAGTCAAATTTGTAAGATTGCTTAGTTTGTTTGGAATTGATGTCGATTTTGAGCAATTAGATATATGAAGCATATTAAAAGATGTAAGGTAGCCTAATTCATTTGGAAATGATGTCAAGCTTGAGCAAAAATCTATTCCAAGTGTAGTCAAAGATATAAAATTATTTAGTTTATTTAGCAATGATAAGCTTAAATACTCATATATTTTAAATGTATTCAAAGATATAAGGTTGCTTAGTTAATTTCATAAAGCTGTTAAGCTTCAGCAATAGGATATACTAAGTATAGTCAAAGATGTAAGATAACCTAATTTATTTAATAATAATGTCAAGCTTAAGCATGAAGATATACTAAATATAATTAAAGACATATAGTTTTCTAGTCCATTTTGTAATTATCTTAATTTTAAGCATACACACACATATATATATAAATTGTAGTTAAAGATGTAATGTTATCAAGTTCATTTGAAAAAGATATTAAGCTTGAAGAATAAAATATATTAAGTATAATTAAAGATGTAAGGTTACGTAATTCATTTCATAATGATGTTAATTTTGACCACTCATATATATTAAGTATAGTTCATTTGATATTACAAACATTTAATAAGAAGATTTTAAAAATATTTTTAGAATATTCAAATAGATGGTTCTAAAATGATTTTTAGAATATTTTAGAAGATTTTAGAAGATTTTTAGAATACTTCAACACATTCTAAAAAGTTATAGGAGGATTAAGGAACTTGTCAAAGAGGAATCCTAAGGTTTTTTTGTCTGTAAGAAACACACAAATTTCTTGAGAAGCTTCTTAAATCTAATATATATTAGAATGAAGGCTAAGGAAATCCTCACTCTCGACAATACATCTCTGAGAACTTTAGCTCACTTCTCTTGGTATTGATCTTGTACTCATTTGGTTTAATAAAGTTCATGCTACTTTTTTTTGTTAAAATTCTTTTGTTCAACTTCTTATTTGATCTTTTATATAATATATCCATGACAATTTATCAAGACTACCTTCCTATCAATACTCGAGCTTGATTTTTTGATAGAGAGTAGATTATCTCTCTTCTTGAAGGTATCTAAGTACTTTAGAAGTTGCAAATTTCCTTATTTTAAATTAGTATAGTTTAGATTTTTTATTTTTTTTTTATTTTTTTTTCTTCTTTCAAGATGCTTGGACATAAAGATGATAGTATGGTTGAATCTACTAAGTCCAATTTAGTGTCAAGGATAAGAACTCGATGAAAAAGTAATTCAGACAAGTGAGCCTTCACTCAAAGAAAGGTAACAAAATATAAATAAACAAGTATGTATATTGAAAGAGAAACTGGAATGGCTATTGCCAAAAGACAAGAAAACTAGAGACCCTTGAAATTAGACTGGAAGCAAGAAAGGAGTTGATAAGAGTGAAGAAGGCTTCACTCTTGTCTCTATATATACTATCTAACTAGAGGCTACATGGCGATGTTCTATAGGACCTCCAATATGTGTTGACTTTGTAGGACACATGCCTTGACTTATAAGGCAAGTTTTTCTATGTGTGGGCCACATAGTTAGCTTGATCTTCAAGCTAACAACATGTATGGCACATGGCCAACTTTTTGACCACGTTTCTAATCCAAAAAGTCAATTAAAGATACCTATGAAGTCAAAGCAGCATCTATGAAGCTTCTAAGAAGCTTCGATATTAAATACTATAGAATTAACTTACTTTTATATACTTTTACTTACTTCCACCTCTTTGTATATGTAATTACTAGCTTACATGAGTATGTCCGTGACATTACTCTTCCTACTAGAGACGAGTTTCACGAGGAGCGATCATCATATGTTGAGAAAATCTATGATGCGACGAATTATATTCGCCACATACTCTGATCTTTGTTCTCTTCGAAGATGATTGATAGGGCCTCTCAACCATCTGTAGTGTTCCATACTAGGGCGGGAAGACCACCCAGTTATTTGATCATTGTTGAGGCTTTCATAACTTCCTTTGAATAGAACATTTGCAATACCATGAGGAGTTGTTCCTACCTCTAGTAAAATCACCAAACATTGGGAGTCCTTTCCTAAATCGTGACACCAAACGCGTTGTATCTCGCCATCTATTCGAGAAAGAACATGTCGTTCTTAAAGATCTTCATCTCGATTGCGTCATCTTGAAGGTTGTGATAATCGTAATGTCTTGTCTAGCAGGTCAGCAAATGAAGGCTCTTGAGTCGAATTCGCTGGTTGTTGGTTCTCCATCTCCTAAGCACCACAACTACAAAGAAGCTACAAACAAGGATTGAAAGTAGAATGTTATCTTACTTAGATGTTGTTTCTTTTATAAAGAAGGTTTTTATCTTGATTTTGATGGATGTCATCGATGAAAAGACTCCACCGCCTTTGTTGCATTTGCAAGATTCTTTATTGGCTCCCATGTGCATTCACTAATATCATATCCGCGCCAATGGACAAGATATTCCAATTTATTTCAGCGTCGCCTTGAATCTAAGACTTCTTCTACTTCAAGCTCTTTATTATTGTCCACTTCTATAGGAGGAGGTGGAGCTTGTCATCTTCTTGGTATGTCCACTATCTTGTATGGTTCAAGAAGAGACACATGGAATACTGGATGGATTTTTATTGACTCCAATAGATATAAACAATATGCAAGTGGATTGATTTATGCAGTAATAGAAAATGGTCCCAGCCTTCAATACCATGTTATTATAAGCAAACTCTACCAATGGCAAAAGAGTTGTCCAATCATCTTGTTGGTAGTTAATGATACATCTTAAATATTGCTCCAAAACTTGATTAACACGCTCCGTTTGTCCATCGGATTAAAGATGGAATGTCGAAGATAATTTTATATCCACTTTTAGAATCTTGAAAAGAGTCCGCCAAAATCTTGATACAAATTGAGTTTCCCTATCTGATATAATATCCTTGGGTAATCCATGATAGCGATAGATATTGTCAAGAAAGAGCTTAGCTATTTCTTCACATGTAATAGATTTTGTATATGGTACAAAATATGCCATCTTGGTAAAACGATCTACTATCACGAATATAGAGTCATAAGAACTTGAGATTGGAAGATCCATGATGAAGTCTATAGAAATAGAAGACCATGGTTGTTCTAGAATGGGTAATGGCTGAAGAAGTCCAAAAGGTCGATGACGAGGAGTTTTTGATCTTGAGCAAACATCAAATGATTGTACAAAATCTTTGACTGCCTTTCACATTTGAGGCCACCAAAAATCCCTAGATATTAGCTCCAAAGTCTTATTATATCCAAAATATCTTGTTGTTGAGAAGTTGTGATGAACTTGAACAATACGTAAACGTGCT